CAGTTGTTCCTCTGAAACCTCAGAATTATTTGAAAATATTAATTATTTAGTTTTGTATTTGGCTTTTTAATAATAGTACTTAACTATTCATATACTGCATAGATGTAGTTAAAGTTCTTTGTGTTCAGTCTACATTTGAGAGAGACTGAACAGGAATCATGTTTGCCTAGGCAAACAATGTGCATGTTCTTTGTTCAAACAAAGCCCTTTCCAGAAACTGTCAAACAACTTTTATAATTATGGACATATCACCTAGAATGTGGTAGTGGGTCTATATTTAAACATAATATGGTTGTAGGTATATGTTTATTACTTTAAATCTACTTTCATTAAAAAGTTTATTTGAAAAGGAAATCTTTTATTATCACTATAAATAGAAATCAAAGAATAGAAGACAACCTATAAATGAGTTCATATTGTGGAAATGGTAGTTTTTCCCCACACCATCTACAAATATCTCAGTGTTTTAATAAACAACGGTTTAAAGCATTATAATTCCAGGTGCTCCCAATCCCAGCTTTCCCAAATTATAGTTTTTAAAAGACATTATCTTTCTACAACTGGAGAGAAATGTTGAAAGAGGTCTAGTTAATTTCAGGATTTCTTTCTTTTTTAATTTTCAAATTTAATTTGTTTATTGTGCATGTGGGCGGGTGGGGGGGAGCGAGTATCAAGGCACGTATATAGAAAGGAAAGAAAAACTTGCTAGATTCAGTTCTCCTGTCCACGCTGTCAGACCCAGGGATTGAACTCAGGTCTTTAGGCTTAGCAGTAAGTACATCTGCCTGCTGAGTCTACTCCCAAGCCTTACAGGTTACTTTAGATATTGATCCTTAGTCCATTATTGAGCTTCTTTCTTAAAGTATATTTGAGGTCTCTAAAGCTGAAGGTTTTTTTTTTATTGGAATCTTTCAGGGGTTTTATTGCTAATTTTCTTGGGGAAAATACAATTTATAAATGCATCGTTCAAAGGAAAAGCTCTCTTAAAAAATTGACTTGTCCTCTTTTCATTTCTTCCCCTTTCTCTCTTCATCTGAGGCCTGGTAGCACCATGCTATAAGTACTGACTGTCCCAGCTTATCAGATTATCCAAGTTTTAGAAGGAAAAAGGAAGGCCAGAAGAGCAGAAGATGGGAGACACCCAAAGAACCTGCAAAAAAACATAGGGAACTTCAAAAGTCAGGGGACACCTGCTGCTGAATTCAGGAAGATGACCAAAAACACTAGCAGGTTCTCCACAGCATTAGAGCATCCGTAAATGTTCAGAAAAAGATACTAGGCGAACAGGCTAGAACAAAGAGTGGGAACATAATATTCACTTATAAAGCTGTGCCTCTGGGTTTGGACACAGCCACAGTTAGCATTTTGGTGTTTATTTTTCAGTTGTGTATGGCATTCTTTGGCATGCAGTTTTGTATAAGTCAAATTAGACAAACAAAACACTCTCGGAGCTCAAAATCCCAAACACAATTTTTATCTTAATTTCCTTGGAAAGAAACCTTAAGGGGAAAATAATACCATCATTTTAGTAAGAACAGATTTGTAGGCTCAAAAGTAAAATAACACACCACCATCCCACCACCGCTCCCCAAAAGGAAAGAAAACAGAGGGTTGGATATTTGGAGAAATAATTCCCCAGCAAACCTCCTGAGCACCCTGGTAGCCTACCTTTGAACTCCAGCTGAAAGCACACCCAGGGCTTGAAAACTACAGTCGTTCGATTGTTTCTCCTTAGCTCCTAAGCCAAATCCTTTGAGCTTTGTAAGAATGAAGTTTTAAAGGCCAGCCTCAATAGGAACAAGGTCTACCACTGTCTACCAATGAGATACTCCTCGAGCAAACGAGGAGAAACAGGACTCTGAAGTTCCACGCTGCTGACTGTCTAAAAATCAACAAATAAACACCACGTAATTTTGTGCAGACCGATCAAACTTTCAGGTTTCTACTAGTTCATTACACTGAAGAAATGAAGTTAGCGGGGCCACCCTCTCCTGGGCTTTCTTGAAACCTTCTCCGTCCTGGCAGCGTCTAAAGTACAGGAATTTCTGGAAGAGAGAACGTCGGTATATTTCCTTTTCAATTCTCTTTTGAATTCTTCTCTCAAGTTAAATCCTTTCAGTATCACAGTATGCAACCCTGCTCCAGCTTCCATGTTTACAACAAGCCTTCAGATGTTTATAAACAGACAGCATACCCACTTTTAGTCATCTGTTAGCCACGTTATACAAATAGCAGGCTTTTAAAATCTTATTCCAGTTTAGCCTTCTCAAACCCTTAAGCGTTTCTATGGGTGCTCTCTGCCTTATTTCCAAATTCATAGATGACCCTTCTTTTTGGAGATACCTCATGATTGTATCCAAGGTATGACCTTGAACGAGTCCTTCTTTTCTTCTGTGGAACTGTCTTTGGGTTTACTTTATTCCCCCATGGATTTATCCTCCTTTTAACACGTAACACATACAGAATTTGTTTCTCTGTTTGTACATCACACAGTGTTTTTCTTGGCACATCATAGCAACCCTCATTTCTCTACTCTTTTCAAAGACATGTGCAAATGCGAACAGTCAAAAGGTTAAAATATGAACAATGGGACTTTGCTATCCTTTTGATTTCTTTGGT